GGCACTGCGAAGATACTTAGTAGTTGAGCACTGCAGGGATACTTTGCGGTTGGGAAGTGCAGGGATACTCTGTGGTTGGGCACTGCAGGGATACTTGGTGGTTGGGCACTGCAGGGATACTCATTGGTTGGGCACTGCAGGGATGCTTTGCAGTTGGGCACTGCGGGGATACTTTGCGGTTGGGCACATCCGTTGAGCATTGCAGGGATACTCATTGGTTGGGCACTGCAGGGATACTTGATGGTTGGGACCGGCAGGGATACTTTGCGGTTCGGCACTGCAGGGATACTTGGTCGGGCGAGGACAACATCTACTTAAAAATCTAACAACCCCACTGCGAGGGTGGGGAAAAACGAAGATGGGGCAAAAAAAACAACAAAGGTGATGTCTAAACGCCTCTTGTAACAGTGAGGGGTCACACTCGCGATCACTGCCGTCGCTTTTGGACCCCTGGGATCCTTTTGGAGTTTGAGAAGCGTCAACAGTCACAGAGATTGAGGGGGCCGCACCCGCGATCCTCGTACCTGTTACCGCTTCTGGACCTTCGGATCCTGTTGGAATTTGAAACATTTTGAAACGCGTAGACAGTCACAGGGATATCGCGGGTCGGGCTCGCGATCCTTGCAACTGTCGTCGCTTTTGGACTTCGTGGATTGCTTAAGTGTGGACAGTCACGGGTACTGTAATTTGCAACAGTTCGTAAAGCTGCAAATATTGTAAATTACATCATTGGGAGCTCGTCTACAGCCTGCAACTAAATTGTAGCGTTGGGAGCTCATCCAGAGCTTGTAGATATAGTACATTCAAACATTCGAAGCTCTTTAGAGCTTGCAAATACTGTAAACTACAGCATTTGGAACTCTTTAGAGCTTGCAGATACTGTAAATCCCAGAATGCCGGCTTTTAGGTAGATTTTGATCTGCGCAGTCGGATGGTGCAGCGCCCCCTGAGTGCAAACAATATGATTCGCATGATCCTTCCTTACCCTCCCTTACGGCAAACATGGTGATGACAAGGCTTTTTTGTCCTGTAAGCATAGATGGCTTTGAAACACGGGGGGGGTTGGGCCGGCCAACCCCTGCGCCTTTGCAAACAAAATGATCCGCACAACCTTCCCGAACTGCAAACATAAACATGGTGATGACATGTGGTTTTGTTTGCCGTATGCAGGGATGGCTTCAAAAAAGCTTGTGGCTTGGGGTGGGCAAACCCCCTCCATCTGCAAACAGCATGGTGCACACTTCAACCATGGTGATGACATGATTTTCTACGGTGAGGGTTTGGATGGCCTAATCACTTATTTTCTATTCTTATCTTTTCCTTCTGTTCGTCTTTCCCTGCTTCCTTCCTTGCTTCCTTCCTTTTTCATGTCTTCCTTTCGCAATTCACTTATTTCATTGTTTCGTTCGTGTTTTCTTTCTGTATGTACCTGTCGTTTTTTCGTTCCTTCGTCCGTCGTTCTTTCTTTCGCTCTTTCTTCCTCTGTTTCTTTATCTCTTTACTTCGTTCTTTCTCCACTTCTTTGCTGCTGTGTCTTCGTCGTCTTCTTCTTCTTCTTCTTCTGGTTTCTGTTTTTCTTTCTTTCTTTCTCGCCGGTTTTGCTGCCTGTCCGTTCTCACTACCTTGTCTTCTGTGCTTTCATTGCTGGAGTTGTTTACTGTTCCTGAATCTATTGATTTCTGTTTTGGAAAAAACCCTCTCCCAGTATTGCCTTGTGCTGCACAGGGCACGGCTTTAGCCACGCCCCTGGTTCGAGCCGCGCCAGAAACGCTGCAGAGCGCGGGCACTGCGCCAGCTCTGGACGAGAGGCCAACAACGCACAAGTGCGCTGGGCAAACGCACATGTCGGAAGCATAAGCGACTCATCTCTCCCATCAAGCAACTGGATGTGGCCTCACGAGATTGGCTTAGACGGCCTTGCAAGATGCAAACCATCCCCAAAACGATCCCTGCTAGAATCAGAATGGGCCTCTCGAGTCTGGCGGCCACACCGCCAACCCCTCCGCATTACGAGCTGCCCGCCGAAGCTGCTCGAAGAGTCCCTCCTTGCACAATCCCGGTATAGGAACCTAGTCTCCATTTCAGGCTCCATGTTCTTTGCCATGTGATTCTCCATTCCGTGTTCCTGTGTACCTTAGCCCTGTCTATCCCAATGTTCTAATGCATATATATATATATACGCGCATCATTCTCATCAGAACTTAATTAGTCCCCAGTCGACACCGGTACAGAGCATCCTCCGCCAGTATTGTCTCCAACTCCTCGAGGAAGACATCAAAGTTCATCTCCAAGAACTCCGCATAAGGAAAGCTGCGCGATGGCCATACTGCTCCAAAGGTCCGAGGATAAAGCTCATCATTCAGTGCGACATCTGACGGAGACTTCCTTTGCTCTCGTGCCACAAAAGAAATCCAGCAAATGCTCGCACATTGCAGAAGAGTTTCCAGCCAATGGCGCCGAGCATAGCCTTTGCTGATTCTTGGATGCGTTGTCATCAAGAAAAATGGAATGTGTTAACTCTTGCAGGGCAGCTGAGATACGTGATAAGGGACTTGCTGCATTGACTGGAAAGCCTCCTGAGCTGTGCGGAGAACCCGCGCAGCCTTTTGCAAGTGTCTTCCTGGCCAAGGCTTCTAGAACATGTTCTACTATGTGATTGCATGCATCCCACCCTGGCCAATCAGATCCGTCCCGCCTTCTGCCAGGGCAGCCCCCAATTCATTCTGGATCAAGAACAACATGGCCAGCTTTTGCTGGCACATGCCCACCAAGAAGCCTGCGCTTGTGAAACTTCATGCGAGTGAGGTTGAACGTTGCACTCACTTAAGGCTACTGCTTGGAAGAAACTCTCTAATGGATTCCCATCTTGAGATCTTTTGGTAATTGAGAGTCAAGATTATCCCCTTCAAAGCAATGCCCAGGCACCCCAACCGAAATCCAAAGCCCTCAGCACCTGAAGGAACAGAGCATCACCGGCATTTACGGACTCATTTGTAGACATCCTTCTTCAAACTGCTTCTGAACTTAGTAACCCTGTTGCTCTGCACGATGCTCATCCCTGTTTTGGTTTCAGTTCATGATACTGGGCTTGGTATGTGCTCCCCACTTTAGGTTGAAACTGCCAACAGAAGACTTCAGCACAGTCTCGGGAGAAGCCGAGTAGCTCTGCAGATCTTGCTGGTGATGAATACAGTTCGTGAAGGTAATAGACACCTGGAAACAGAGACTTCCGCGTACATCTTCGCTCAAACACTGAAGGAGAGTCCAGCCCCCGCACGCTGCCTGGAGGAGCTGCTCTGCTAGGATCATATCTTCTAAATTCAGCCTGGCGCTGACGACATCATCCTCGTAGAAGCAGAAGTGGTAGAGACCGTTTGCGATGCCGAACGCAGTCGCCGGTCGGGAGGTCAAAGCAAACTCAGCTAGTTGACGGAGTTTTGGGACTACTCCCGCCAGGCCTCAGAGGCAGCGCTGCAGCACTTCACAAACAGAAGGTCATGAAATCAACGAAGCGACCCTGCTCCATGTGGTAGTACTCTTGGAAGAGGGACTGCTGCAGCAACTCCTCGCATGGACCAACGTCAAACGCGGTAGTGAAGGCCCTTGATGCCTTGAGACATGCGTTGATACTGCAGGGAAGAAAAAGCAGCAAAGCAGCCTACAAAGTCAAGCGATGCTGGCCATGGTCTATCCTGTCCTGATTCCCAAACTCATCCGTCTCCGAAAGTTCTGGCGGTGTCCAGGCCCAGGTATGCGCAGCAAAAGCCAGCCTTGTAGGCTGGGGGGCTTTTGCATTTTCAATGACACAAGCATGTAATCCTTACGGGCTTCCTGCAACTGCGCGACGTTGCAGCGCACATCGCCATATCATTGCACTTGAGGGCACGGCACGCTTCCAACCCAGACTAGTACAAACCCAACCTGCTTTGCAGTCAGAAACTGCAATGTGTAATCATTTAGACTTCTTTGTGCTTTCGGGCCTTGTAGGTTGAACGACGACTTTCAAGCCGCAAGCTGCGAAATGAGCTTCATCATTTGACACGACTGTTGAGCCTTTCCCGAATGATTTCGCTGTCGCTTTTCCGTCACTTCTTTGCCGGCCCGTCCTTAGCTTTGTCCTGCAAGTGTCCCCATGTTCTGTCAACTCTCCTCGGCATCATCCTGACGGAGCTACGTGAGACGACTGTCTGTCTTTGGCCAAGTTGATAGGAGAAGCTATGTACACAGATTGAATCCACTATCTCCTAGCCCAAGCGGGACAAGATCTTGGCTGAACAGTTCGCCTCAACCGTGGTCATTGGTTGCTTTCGGCTGTCCACTCTCGGGGTAAATACAGAGTCTGATTGGGCAGGGCCAGCCAGTCCTTTCAAAATCAAGTCTGCAGCGAGAGAGGATGAATCACCGCGAGCAAAGAAATAGATAATCAGAAAGTCCTTACCATCAAGTATGCAGGAATCGCGCCTCATAGCCCTTCCACTCAGAGCTATAGTATATCGAGGGCAAAGCGGGCAGCCGCAAGCTTCTCAATCCTGGGGTCTTTCCCTGCAACAAGTTTGCTGTCATCCTTGGTGGGATTTTGTGGGTCTTGGTGAGAGCGAGAGAGAGAGAGAGAGAGACAGAGACAAGGAGCTGCTTTCATAAAAGCCCAGACACTGACTGGATCGGCTTCCACAAAAGCGTACCAGTCTTCTTGGCTCTGTAGGCCCAGCATCCGCGAGACAAGGCGCGCCTGGCAAAACACGGCAAAACATGGCAAAACAAGGTTGATTTTGCTTGCCCAACCAAGCGCCAACCCCACAGTGCCTTTGCAAAAGGCAGAAGGCAGCCAAGGAAGTCCTCCCAGCCCTGCCACTCTTCGGCATACATGGCCTCACAGGACCGTCACAAGACTTCAAGCGCTAAAGAGGAACTGCAGGACCGCTCTAGCTGAAATCCTTCCGAGTCACCTCTGGGTCGCTTGGTACATATGGGCCCAGGAAAGGCGATTTCTTGCCTTCAGCGACCCACTCATCCCATTCCTCACCTTAACGGGTCTATGCTCCAAGACTCCGTCTTCCCCATGACCTGAGACATGCTGGGATCACGGCGGCTCTCAAAGCCGATGGCCTGGACACAGCGCCTTGCCTGCAGACAACATGTTAGGGAAGTTGCGTGAGTGGCCGGCCGCGCCAGGCAAATCACATGACCCACCTCATCAAAAGGCAGCACACGTCGATATCGCTTCCGCCAGTTGGGTCGCGCGGCATAACTGCCTCAGTCTCAATGACTGACCCAAGCACCGAACGATTCCTGCGACAAATACATGCGTCTTGTCCTGACAAGCTTCTGCGGTTGGCGAGACCACTTGCAAGTTCCTGGCATACGGCAGTCGTAAGCACTTGCCCGTCATCTGGTGTCGCATGCTGAGGACAAACAATAGCAAAATCTTTGGACTTCGTCACCTCTGCAGCGCGGGGAACGGAAGATCGCCGTTCTGGCCTGGTCAGAACTTCTGAGCTCTGGCACAGCCGGAGGAAGCCACAAGTCCCCTGCCTCAGCCAGAGCCCTAGCCTGGGACCAGTCCAGGCCACTCGTGCCAGCGAGAAGCCACCAGCGAAGACCACAACCAAAACCAACGAAGGCAAGGCCGCTCTGAAGGGACGGACGAAGTGCATGAGGCTTCAATTTAATGAACAATTTTGTTGCGTCGCATTGGCATTGAAAAGTTCCTGTTAAGACTAATCTAGCCAGTCCATCCTGCTCCTAGCCGCTGGAAAAAACATCTCGAACCGGCTGCATACGGCAGGTCAATCAGCAGCGCTGAACAAGAATTTCTTGCAGAACTTTCGAAGACGGGTTGGTTTGGAGAAAAAAAGCAAAGGCGCACACGCTTTTCTCCAAGCATCATGGCCGAGGTTCAGGTGCTGCAGCACTGCATCAAGTATCTTCAGGAGTCCCAAGGCCGCTTCGTCGCTTCGTCTTGTGCGGTACAGCACGGGCCACTGCAAGTGGAGTAGCAATGACCCATCAAGCAGGTGGGGCCTCCTCATCCTCGGCCGGGACAGTAGCAGCAGCTGAGGGTACAGCAGAGGCCACTGCATCATCGATGGCAGGTGTAGCAACAGGGGCAGGTTCGGCATCCTCGGCCGGCACAGGGGTAGCCGTTGCCGCATTCGCTGCAAGCGCAGCAGCCGCTGCTGGGACGGCCTCGTCCGCTGCT